TACGTAGTGCAGATGCGAACCATCCGCTACTGGGCCTATAAAAGAAATAAACTTTGAGCGTCAATAAGCATGGATTTGAGTGCTAACTGGCGAGGGTAAGACAATTGCGGCAAACACACCACGGCCCAGGCTCCAGTCGAGCGAGCGTTCTCTGTGGATGTAGTGCAGACGCGGACCATCTGCTACTGGGCCTATAAAAGCAAGAAGGTGAACTCGAATAGACCCCGGATTTTTAGTGCTCAGCGTAAAAAAAAAAGATGGAGAAATACGATGGACCAGGCTCGAGTCGAACGAGCAGGTTCTGCACAAGTTCTTTGGGTACTCATGCATTGCATGCAGACGCGGACCGTCCGCCACTGGGCCTATAAAATAAATGACATGAGCTCGGATAAACCGCAATTTTTACGTCGCACCGTAGGATAAGATTTTCAATTTGGAGAATGTGAAATAGCCTAAGCTCAAGTCGAACGAGCGGTATCTGCTTTAAGGCATATTAACCGTGGAATTGCATGCAGACGCGGTCCATCCGCCACTGGACCTATAAAAGCAATAAAATGAGCTGGGATGAAACAGGAACATTGGCGCTCACCAGTAGGGTAGGGGAAAAAAATGCCTGATTCGCCCACACGGCCCGAGCTCGATTCGAACAAGCAATTTCTGCATCCGTTCCTGAAACCGGAGATTGCACACAGATGCGGATACCGTCCGCCACTGGGCCTTTTGGATAATACCAGGATTTTTTGGGCTTCACCGTAAAAGAAAAAAGTCTGGAAAGACAGAGTTTACTTATGTCCCAGGATCGAGTAGAACGAGCGGATTCTGCGCATGCGCGACATTAACATGCCCGGTTCCTAATCGATTTGCATAAAGCGAAATTTTGGCAGTGCTCACCGTAAAAGAAAAAAAATCTGGAGAGGCAGAGTTTTGGCCCAGGCTCGAGTCGAACGAGCAGCTTTTACATGACATCGTTTGCTGTCCCAACACGTAGCGCAGATGTGGATCATCCGCCACTGGGGCTGTAAGACAACAAAAGTGAGCGTGGATAAACCACAGATATCGGTCAAAACCGAGTACGAGTCTTCAGGCTTGTTCCGCGGCTCGAGTCGCGGAATGCGCCGAACCAGGATTTGGAAGAATGCATGGAATCCAGCGATATGCGCAATGTCCCTGTCTTTCAACGAAGAAAAAAGCCACGTCCTTAAACAACGAGAACGTGATCTTGGATCTCGACAGATTACGACCCAGCAAGTACATAGAGCCGCTTTTTGAAGCACCGACTGAAATTCGAAAGGCGTACTGCGAACAAATGGAAAGTGGACTGTAGAACGCAGTACGTACAAATACGGATCAACCATGCAGCGCTTGTTTCGGGAACAGTTGAGCGCCTCGGAGCATCTCGGAACAGCCACAAAAGTGATGCGAGGTCTTCCGTATCTCTCGCAAACAAAAAAAAAGCACACAAAATGAAAGCGGTAAACGGGACACATTTAGAACGGGCGATTCTGTATCGCGAATACATATTTGTGAACATGTAGACTAGGCCTGGAGGGCAACCACAGACTAAGCTGGAACCACGTCTCCCATGAGTCCCCCGGCGGGACGGGATTCGCGGTGCACGGAGAAGACCACGATGGGCGCGCGGTGGGCGATGCGGTGGAGGGAGCGCAGAGAAGGTTCGCAGGCATTACCCCCACCTGCACCGCCACGTTCTGCTTCAGCCCGCTGGATGCCCCGGGCTGCGCTGCACCAGGCAATATACATACTTGAAGGAAGCCCGTAAGTGCTGGGCGGATGTATCTCGTCGTCGCTGCGAGACCGCGCGGGATTCGTGGAAGACGGTGAAGAGCGCGGTCCGTGGGCGGAGAAGCGTGTATAGCGTGCGGAAGGGGATCGAGCGCTGCTCGCGAAAGCGCGGCGGGGCGGTGGCAGCTGGGCGCGCGGACGCGGCGAAATGCTAGGTGCGTGACGCGGCGGGGGCGGAAGAGATGTGGTGCGCGGGGGGGGGTGCGCTGGGTGCGCTCCGCATGCAGTGCCGCAGCGGGCGGGTACGGCAAAGAGCGCTGTGCGCGGAAACCGAGGGCAGGGCGCGCACATACACCTCTTCGTCCACCCACGACGCGGAGGGGGATCGAACACTGTTCATGAGAGAAGACCGAGGGCCGTTCGACACCCGAGCAGGCAAGCGAGCAGCGTGTGATCGCACAGGAAGGGGGGGAGGGTGGCGGATGTACCTCCGAGCAGGAGGTACCGACGCGCGGCGCAGGCGTGCGCCCTCGAGATACGATTCTGGCGCGGGCGATCGTTTCATTCGGGAGTCGGGTGTACGCAGAGCTATTATTACATACGGGATACCTGGGACAGTGGCACACTCAGAAGGAGAAGCGGGATACGGATGCGGTAAACTCACGAGATCATACGTGGCGCCGGCCACAGCATCGTCGAGTCTGTAAAATGGCGCCCAAGCGTGAGCTAAGCACCGGGAAGGGGTTCGCGTCCGGCGATGTAACATCACCAGTGTGAGTGTGGTGTCACGGCGCGGAAGGCGAGGCACGTGGGCAGGCGTCGAGGCACTGGCGCGGGCGATCGTGGTGCACCAGGAAGTGGGTGACGAGCGGCGCTAACATGTACCCTCCTCGCCGGCTCGGGCACATAGTGGCAACGCGCGAGCGGGGTACGCAAGGATGTTCGTGGGTGGGGCGTGGACCGGAGGAGGCGCAGCATGCAGTATCACAGCGCGCGGGAGCGGGGTGCGTAAGGCTTCCTGCCGGCGAGACACTCCTCATTCTGGCGCGGGCGATCGTGGCGCACTGAGAGGTGAAGTGGATGACGAGCGGCGCAGCGGGTATCTACGAGCGGAGTACACAGGGCTGCCTGCCGCGGGCCATCGCGGCGCGCGGGTAAGTGGGTGACGACGTCCAGGCCAGTACGAGCGGCGTGTAGTCTTGCAGCGCGCGACGGAGGGGGCGCAGCGCTGCCTGCCGTCGAGACACGATTCTAGCGTGCGCAATCGTGGCGTGCCGGGATTTGAGTAAGGGACAAGGCCCATATGGTGTCGCGGCGCGGCGCGAGGTACCTGGCGTGTAGTGTGGCACCAGCGCGCGCGGGGCTGTCTGCCGCGGAGACGTGTTCTGGCGCGGGCAAAACGTGGCGCGCCGGGAAGTGGGTGACGACGCGCGTGCACGGGCGGCACCGCTGGCATGCCGTGCGCAGCGCGCGGGAGCGGGGTACGCAGCGCTGCCTGCCGTCGAGATACGCTCTGGCGCGCCGGTGGAGGAGTGACGACGCCGAGCGCGAGGGAGGAGGGTACCGGCTGAGGCGCCGCAATCTCGTAGCGCTCTGGCAACCGTACCGCGCCGGTATGTGGGTGCCCTTCCTCGACGTTCGGCACGCGAAGAGATCGGGCGCGGTGCCGCCACGGACACAGAGCGTGACATCGGTGGATGGGGGTGCAGGGACATCGTCGTCGGCGGTGCGCACGGGGACGGTGCACGGTGCGCAAGCAGCGACCTCACGATCTGCAAGAAGGCGCGCGCGCGGTACCGTCCTTGCGGCGGATGTCGAAGATTCCTCCGGCGGGTTGAGCGCGTCGCTGAAGCGGGGGATCGTACGCGGCGTGTGTAGGAGTTCTATTCTTCCGGCATTTGTCGTCGCCGTACTGCGCCAGGTAAATATGAGGGCCAGCAATTTCTTTGATTAGTCGCTGTGTCGCGATGCCGTGAGGACCGAGAATACCGATACTACGCGGGTCGGGATACAGCGCAAGTTTGTGGATGGCGGTTGCGATAGGCGGATAGACGATGAGCGCGCGAGCCACGCTGCGAATGTACGTCTACGTGGCAGGGGCAGGGGCATTGGAGACAGACAGGTCAGCGCATGCGATAGTGCTTCGCGGCTTCACGCGACGTCTCTACGCATACGGTTGGACTGGCGCGGCACGGAACGGCCTGTATGTACCGCGAGACCAGTCAGTCAGGCAGCTCCGGAATGAAGCGCGGTGCGTAAAGGATGGCTTACGGGTCAAGTCCAAGAACTAGATGTATTCGGTGTCACCCACAACAGGACGTCTACCAAAACTGGATCGAGCGGGCGTGGAGCTGCAGACGGGACACAAAGATGATCGGAAAGAGCGCATTGCGAGGGCCGAGTCCGGGATACGCAAGAGATTGATTGAGACAATGAGGTGTGAAAAGGAGATGGATAGACTGAAGCGTAGGTTCTCCAGGGTTCACAATCACAAAGAGCTCAGTAAATTCAAGGGAACATCTTCGTGGTGGTTGTGAGTCACACCGGTAACGCATGATGCGCTATCATCGCACCGCCACGGTAAAGCAAGGTTCAAGTTCAAATTTTCGGCTGCCGGGGTTGTAGCAGGCGTGGACTATCTCTGTAACGCAATAAAATGGACCTGGATGCAGCAGGGTTCCTACACCGCAAAAGTTAAAAATAAAATAAAAAGATGGGACGAGCCTGATTATAGGCAGCGCTCGATTCGAACGAGCGGTATCTGTGTTAAACAAGGGTCTTCCTTACCACCTGATGCAGATGCAGAACCTCCGCTACAGCCTGTAAACACATAAGATGAAGTTTGATAGGCCCTGGATTTTTCTGGCTGCTCACCGTGAAAAAGTCGTTCAGACACCCGTACAGCCCAGGCTCGAGTCGAACGAGCATCCTCTGTGAATCTTCAACTCCCCCTATTGCATGCAGATGCCGACCTTCCGCCAGTGGGATTGTAAGACAGCAAAAATGAGCCTGGATGAACTCTGTGAATTGCTTGGGACGCACCATAAGAGCGCTCACTGGGCAAAATAAATTGCCATAAATTGCCCGACCGTGTAAAATATATTATACCACTAGCTAGGCTCGGCGTCTTGCTATGACTCCAATGTGAAAACGCGACTCTAAAATCATAAAAGTAAACTGAAATAAAGCAGGCATTTTTGGCAATTACTGCCGCAAAGTAACAAAAGAAAATGCACTCAGCAGCCATGAGGATCCTATGGCCCAGGCTCGAGTCGAACGAGCATTCTCTGCACAGAAGCCACTCTGGTTACAAATTGCATGCAGATGCGGACCATCCGCCACTGGGCCTGTAAACCAACTACTTGAAGTTGAATAAAACAGTCATTTCAGCGACCTTGGAAAGAAAAAAGCGGGGGATAGCTTCCGGATGGCCCAGGCCCGAGTCGAACAAGCCTCCTCTACATCCAAGCGAGCACTATTTAATTCATGCAGGCGCGGACCATCTGCCACTGGGCCTATAAAACAATAAAAATGAGCTTTTGTAAACATCGAACTCTTTGGGCCTCGCCGTACGCTCTCAACAGCGTTCATTGGGCAAAAGAATTAGACCTAGTAAAAAATACCGCGTCTCGCTATGACTCCGACGTACAGTCCGACCTCTAGAATTATTTATAAAAGGCATGTTCGCACTTACCTTTCGCATCAAAAAAAAGCAACTCCGACGCTAATGGCCCCGGCTCGAGTCCGAACGAGCATTACATCTTGTCTTGATGTATCTCTTACGTACTTCGTGCAGATGCGGACCATCCGCCACTGAGCCTGTTACACAGTACCAATGAGCTTCGATATCACAGAACAAACACAGTGAATTTTCTTGTTCAATCCAATCCTCACCATACCCCTTCGAGTTGAACCAGATGCCCTTCTCAGTAGAAATCGTATACGTAGACCGTTCACGACCTTCAAATACAACCAGATGAAAATGAATTAATGCGATGAAATGTATGGAGCCAACTAGAATAGCGCTAAGCGCTGGGCAATGGAGACGGTGGCATTGCGAAGCTGCGAAGGAATATAAAAAGGGAAAGCTCGACGGAGAAAGCGAATGGGGTGTAGGCGCAGATGTGGGCACGAAACGAGCGAATCGAATCGCGAAAATAGGGAGATCGAATCGCGAAGAAAAGAGATATCGCTCAACGCAAATGCACCAAAAAAAATCCGTTCGGTTAATGCTGAGTAATAACAACTACAATTCGTTTCTTCTTCCTTCATTCTTCGCTATGTTACGCAGCCGCATCCGCGTCACATTTAGACCTCGTGGGGTAAGGAAAGGACCTTGTCATCTCCGTGGGATAGGCAGAACCTTTGGAGCTGTCACCAGCGAGGGCATAATCTGGAATCCGCGCAGAAATACGGCCTGATTGTCCCGCCATGATTCTTCCCCCGGGTTCCGGTGTGGGCCTGAATACTTCGAAGAACTGGCGTTCTCCCACTCCCACGCGCACGACGCGCCCACACCCGCTACCTGTACTGCCTTCAACTTCACCGACGCTTTCCCTGTACCCGAAGAGTCATCCACCGTCGCAATACACCAGGATGTCGCTTTGGTAACCCCGGTGAGGAGAATCAGGCCCTGGTCTCCGATTGTCCTTTGGAGTTCATCATTGACGAACTTGTACCAGTTCTTCCGGTGCTTCAATGCGTAACTACGGAAGGCCTTCTCTGGGCGGATGTCCCAGCTCGAGGCGCCGTCTGGCAGGTAAAGCATTGCTGCCCGTCGCGAGCGTTTGTGCACATCGAAGACTACGCCGACACCGCAGCTGCAGTCCTCTCAGAAAAACAATGTATCGGCAAAAGTGAACGTACCGGTCATGACATTCGAAGTTGGCATTTACGCTGATGTCCTGCTTGTGAACAGTGACATTCGAAATGACCGTTCCTGGGGGATGGCATAGCACCTGCGTGCGGACGTCGTCTAGATTTAGGCTGAGCTGCTCAAAGTTGGAGGGGACACCGAGTCTATTGGTGAAGTCCCCTTCTGGGCAAGTAATGTTAAAGAGCGGCTCAACCGACCCGTCGCCGTGCAAAATGCAGACGTCTCCGGGGAGTAAGCCGGATTTCCTGAGTGAGGGAGGGAGATCTTCGGAAAGATTAGGGAGAGAGACCGGATGGCCGTGGCCTTTCGAGCTGAGGAGTGTGGTGTAACGTTTGCCCTCTGCCATGGAGAACTATTGAAGGCGAAAGAAGGGAGGTGGGGGCACGATTTCAGTTCATGGCTGTTAACTGAGCGTTGGCTTGGGCGAGGGGAGGGATATAATTAACCTCGCTGCTGTTTGGCAGCTGTTAACATGATATGAACGCTGCGGAGTTGACCGGAAACACAGCTCGTGTCCGAGCAGATTTTATCTTGTATCTTGGACTCAAAATCTGATCAAAATCCTATTTGTTTGGCGGAACGCAGGCCCGGGACCCTCCTGAGCTTAGCAGAGCTTAAAAAACAACCTCTATTACGACAAGAACGAGAAGATAACAAGTCGTTGTTAGAATTGATGGCTGTATACAAGCTGTGAGTCGGTTTCAAAATCACTGGAAGCTGGCTGAACATCGGAGTTGATCAACATGTGCGTATCGGCATTTCCTCCTGGACAAATTCGACCAGTATGAGCCAGTGTCACAAGCGGATAAATTTGGAATGTCTCTGCAGATTGAGTTTATCCCAAACGCTCCAAAAAATTTAAAAAAGGTTGGCTGTTGAACGGCCTGTCACGTGCGCATGTGATAGAGATCGCCACGTCTGTCCTCCCACCTCTCTCTTGCTTCCCTCTCCGTACTCCCTTTATTTTCTGAGCTCGGCTTGACGCGCACTGGACTAAGTCAGCGAGAAAGTATGGATCAATACTGCCATTCGGGCACAGCATTCTCTGCCTCGAGGCCAGCGTGCTAGATTAATTTAGCTTTAGCGCCATCGAAATCACAGCACCTCTACAGCTCCCTTCCTTCCTTTCAGATATACAGGGGGACATCGCAGCTTTCCCAACTTTGCACTTTCCCCCATTTCCTCAAAGGATGTCCGACTCCAAGCTTTACAGTCGTCTTCTTCTTCCTCAAGGCCATGGATTTCCTTTGTATATTCCTTCACCACCTGACGACCTTTCCGAGCCAGTCAGGAGAAGTGGCGTGCAAATTGGGGACGCTGGCATTGTGTGCGGAGATGGGTCGTTTGACACACTCTTTAACATTTGTTACCCAGAAGGGGACCCCATGAACCGATTCGGTGTACCCTTGGGCTTTGAGCAGCTTGTCGTGCGCCCAGAAGATGTCCGCACACAGGCGTTACACTACCCCCCAGGATCTGTTCTATCGAATGCCATTACGAGGAAGAACAACTTCAGCGATAATTCGTAAGTCTATCCATGTTGAAATATTTCTTGTTCTAACTACTACGGAGACCGACGGCTGCCGGAGTAGAGGTGTCCACTAATTCGAGGAGGAGGGCACTGCTCTCGCTTCCAGACGGCGCGTCGACGTGGGACTTGCACCAGCACCAGGTCTTCCGGGACTACGCGTTGAAGCACGGGCGAAACTGGTATGCGTTCGCGAGCGATGATTTGCAGCGCATGGTTGGAACGTCGGGTCTGTACCTCGTCACTGGAGTCACTAAATGCGCGTCCTGGAGCATCGGGGTGGCGAACGAGTCTTCGGACGCGCTGAAGTACAAAGGCAGTCAGGACGATGGCGCTGCCGCGACATTTGCCTTGGAAAGGGAAATTGTCGGTTCTGCGATAAAATCAAGCCCACGTTGCCCAAGGGAGGAATCGCGGCTGGAAAACCAGACCGTATTCCTACGAGGTTTCAAAGTTGCGCTGCGCTCGTCGGTCCCCTCGACTGATGTAGACGAGGAAGAAATGATCGAAGACGTTCACAGTGTGGGTGACGGCGTCCCTCGCTTTGATATTTGACTGAGAACCCTGTAGACATATCACCCGTCGGACGTTATCAATCGGCACATCCTGGACTCGGTGAGTAGCAGGTTCGTATTGAAGTCTTTCACCCATCCGTCGTTAGGACCCTAGTGCCATCGTCGCTGTTACTCATGATGATGAATGGACTTCTGTCCTGAAAGAGGTGCAGTTATCCACTGCTGCATCGAAATATTTGTTCTCATTTATCTCACAGGCCGATGACGACATTCCCGACGACGCAGAATTGGTCAGACGCTTCTCAAATATTCCTGGTCAGAAGAAGGGACCTGCGGAGGCAAGAATCCTCGTGGACGAAGTGCGTTCATATTTTACCGCAGAGCATAATCTGACGCGACATGACAATTAGCCAGCAGCGATAGCTGCTCTCCTCGAGGATGCGAGGTCCAAGGACGAATTTTTCTTCCACTGTGCGCGCGCTATGTTCCTGAGTGAATAGTATTTAACATACAGACCAGACTGCGGTCATTCGACCCAAATCCAGAATCTCGAACAGGATGGGATGGACGAATGTATTCTTGTTTCTCACAATCGCGACTCCAGTACTGATATCTGGTCAGGTTTGGTCCCTTTGGATGGCGAAGCGATGAAAATTGTGGACAATGTAAGTTTGAGTTTGTTCTGTCGCTCAAGTAGCTCGATAGCTAACCATGTGCAGGAGCTAAAGGCCGTTCTTGTTACGCCGCTGCCCGTAGATTCACGTCTTGTCGCCGCTCTGGACACTTGCCATTCCGAATCCTTGCTCGGTACCTGTCTGGATCTCTCCCTGCCCGTGCTTTGATGCTCACAGCCATTCGTACAGATCTTAAGCACTCCCGTTGCAATCGTGTGTTTATACCATGGTTGCACCGCGGAAGGAAGTACAGTGATGACCTGCGGAGCCAGATTGGTGAGTACTTGACTTCGTCAAAGCTATAGTAGTGGTCTAATCCCATTTCTAGTTCGCCGCGGAACCCTAGCCGACTACGGTTCTACGTCCACTACGTTGAGAGTCGATCAACCCTCGCGAACTTCATCCACAGGCGTCCGCTCTCAGCGCAACTTGTTCTCCCAGCACAACTTGTTCAACGTGGATTACGAATCCCAAGTGCCATCACCTGTCATACGCAACATCTCGCCCATACGGACCCGTAGCAGAACTACCAGCTGGCCTTCCCCAGTCCTGCGCACCGCCATCGCCCGTCCCCGTACAACGTCCCTTCGCTGCGATATGTCGGCGCAGTCAGACAAAGTGAACGCTCAGGAGAACAACGATGCTGCCGAAGGATTATCGTCTGCCATCCACAACGAGTCATGGCTCTGCGCTGACACCTTGCGCTGCGAGTACCCCGACTCAGGTTATCCATGCGATGGCTGGTCTCGCTATTC